AAGTCTAATGCGGCAGAGGAAGAGCAGACTGAGAGATCGATGCAAGAGAGAGCATGAGTCCAAGGATCAAAATGGGTGTGAGTACCTGTATTTAAAACACGGAGGGGGTGGGTAGCAAGAAAAGCCTCTAACTGAATACCACGGGAATCACAGTGAGGCCCCCCAGAGGAAATGATGGGCATTAAAATCGCCAAGTAACAGAAGTGCAGGCGGTAATGACGAAACAAGAAAGGCAATATCTGGGATAGATAATGCCCGCGAAGGAGAGAGATACAAAGAACAGAGTGTATACCACCTATGCAAGTGGATACGGGCTGCTGTGTAATGCAGCAAAGTACGAACAAATAGCTGATGGTACGGAATATCAGTGCGTAGAAGAAGGGCACTTTCATTAAAGGTCCCATCAGGAAAAGGATCTGAAGAATACAATAAATTATAGCCAGAGATAGGGTAGATAACGGCAGAGTGCAATTTTGGTTCCTGTAAGCAAACACCAACAGGGGAAAACTGGGAGAGCAACATCTGAAGTCCCCCGATTCCCCCTGAGGCCATGAATTTTCCACTAAAAATAGGCCATATTGGAAAATGATAAAGATACCTGAAACCCCGCAGGAAAAGGGTCCTACAGACTAGGGGGTTAAAAAGTCCCAGCGGTGGCAAAGGAAAAAACGTTCAAGTAGTGAAGGAAGGGTGCATTGTGAAAAAAGGGGTTTTCGCAAGGGAAAAAGGGGAAAAAGAAAAGGAACAGAGGGTGGATCAGTGTCCATTGAGGGTTTGGTCTCTGCAATATATTCAGATTGCTTCAAATGTTTCGGAGTTCAGAGCCTCATATGGGGAAATATTGGAGATGGAAGGGGGAGTTTAGTAAGATTTGGGGATGTAAATTTACTGTACCAAAGTAGGGAGGGGCGGAAGGGTGGAGGGAACGGAGAAGTGGGGAGGGGACGAAGAGGCAGAAACCTGGAAAGGGGGCGAAAAGGAAGAAATTTTTGGGGGGGACAGGGGGAGGAAAACACATACGAGGAGGAGGAGAACCTCCACACTTGTAAAAAGAGCCGTGAAAAAGGGGAAAACCCCGGTACAGAGACCGGGAAAATAAAAAGGGAGGTGGATGAAGAAAGGGGGGGTTAAAGGAGATTTTTTGGGCTTGGAATAGGGGAATTGGGAGGAGGGGTCGTACGGGGCTTTTCGATACCGGGGTTTGTGAGGAAGGGCAGAAGAAGTGAGGCAGATGAGGGGTTGAAATAGGGACGTCTTTTAGCCCAGGGCAGAAAAAAAATTAGTACAGGATTTCTATGGGGGGGCAACCCCAGGGAGGGTGCAAAGATGTGACCCAGATTGACAAGAATAAAAAACACGGGGCAGTCTCCCTTGGAGGCGGAGATGGGAAAAAAGCCATAGCATAAGGGAGACCTTCTGCCCTTTTGAGGCAACGAATTTCCCCAAATTTAAATAGACTTGGCGCGGCGAGAGTAAAGAAGGGTGAGCCTCATGACAATTAAAGGGAAAAGGGATTTGCTGCGACGTATTAGAATAGTCATCGGCACCAAGAGGGGCATTGGCTAAGATCTGCAATTTTTTGCTGGAGGGCCCAAAAATTTGCCACAATTCCTACACTTTGAGGTGTGGGTTCACCTTTCGAAATTGTAACCGATTCCTGCACTAAACAAGGATGGGGTTCACGGCTGTCAAAAGTTAAAAAAGCCCATTGCAAGGGTATCGTCTTCGCTGGGGGCAGGAAAACAAAGTGTCTCCCTTTGAAAACTGGGGATTTTGGGGTTTCCAGCTGTTCGAGAATGTCAGTGCCACTTTTGGAAATTCTGTTGGACATGGAGGGGCAGAAAACAGTCCCCCAAACAAAAATTGAGGGAATGATTTTTTTCGATGGTGTGGAAAGTATCGATAGTGAAAGAAGAGAAAGATCATGACTTGGGTGAATTCTGGATGTGTGATGCCGTATCACTCTTAAAGCTGAAGGAAATACCTCCAACGGGGCATGGGGTGCTTTCCCAATACTATGGTCGGAAAGATAGGCAGTAGAAGAAGTCGGTCTAAATTTTAAAAATTTAGTCCTTTTGTGGGGTCTGAACTGAGGTGGAGAGGGAGGCTGATGTTTGGTTTTTTTTCCGGGGTTAAAAGGGAAGGAAACGAGTAACATCTTAGGAGTTTGCGTTGACATTTAGAAGGGGGACAGAGTTGGTCCGATGTGGGAGGGGCCGGCGATTCAAAAATTTGTGCACTGTAGGGGAAAAACCAGAAGCATAGTCAAAGGAGAGCGGGGGGTCAGCAAATCAAAGGGGATCAGTGGAACCCCCGGGTCCCTAAACCCGGTGGGAAAACAGCACCGGCAAGAGGTACGGGGCCCCTTAGGAATGTCTAACAGTGGCCAAAAAGACGAGGCGAGGTCAGAACAGGGTGCGGTAAAAAATAAGGGCCCGGGGGTTGGGGGGTCATGGTCGGGTACTCCATGGTTGGGTTTACTTCTTTTTTTTTTTTTAAGAAAAAAAAAAAAAAAAATAAAAATAAAAAAAGAAAAAAAAGAGGGGGAGGGGGGAGGGATGTTCCTGGGAGGAATGAAATGGCCAAAAAATCTCCTCCGCCCCAAGAGAACCTCGCACCGCAAGTAGCGCAGATGCGCATGGAACCCGTGCCATACCCTACCCATCATCCCGAAAAACCACAATGGGATAGCAACCTCAATCTGCCGAGCTCCCTCGGTGGACAAAGAGAGGGGCCGGATACCCCCAACAAAGATACCCCCTTGGGCCTCCCCCCGGAATCGAAAGGTGGCTTCCAGGATACCCCCTTTTCGCCCGAAAACACCCAAAGCCACCCTCCGGGATACCAAAGAGGGATGGGGACACCCCCAGGCAATCCAGATTCCTGGCAAACACGCCACCCCAAAAACCTTCAAGGGAAAGGGATGGACCCTGGTCCCCTTTCCCCTACCTAGGAACTAGCTTGCCGGGGGAAAAAAAACCCCAAAAGGGAAAAAAAGGGGAAGGGGCAAAAGGGGAGGGGTGGGGAGGAGGAGGGGGAAAAGGAAAAAAGGGAGGATGGGGAGATGGGGAGGGAAGGGGAGATTGGGGGGTAATTAGGTTCGGTTGAGGAAGGGACCGACAGGAAATTTCCCTCAACCAAGAGCCTCTTCACCACGCCAAGGACCCCCCCTTGAAGAGGCGTAAAGCCGTAATCTAAGAGGACCGAAAGGGTTAATGGGGGGATATTCGAACCCAGGTTTCACTGTAATGCAATTTTTATTTTTTTGGGAAAAAACCCCTAACTTGAAACCTTCCTAAACCTATTTTAAACCTAGTGAAAAAATTTATGACTAAATTATACTATTTTTTTTTAACAAGTGCCCCAGCCGGGATTAACCCTGCGACATTCTCCTGCCTAAAGAAACAGGAAACATTCACATCGCCTTAACCACTTAATACAAATTTGTTACATCCAGCAGAGCTAAGTGTTTTCAAAAATTGAGGACACTGTGGTATGGTAAGCTCAAGGCAAATTTCAACTCCCTCCTTTTTAAATCCCAGCCCCCACAAGCAGTGATAGCACACTTACCCCTGTTTTTTTGGCTTTCATTTTTAAGGGCATTTGCTAATTTTTTTTGGGGGGAAACTTTTTTCCCAAAAATACATATGGCTTCTTCCCCCCCCCCCCCGAGCAATATTCCCTGCACCACTTTATTTATTCCCCCATAGCCCCACTCTCTCCTCATGTCTGTAAACTTTACCAAAATTTCAAGTGTTTTTAACCCTTTCACGTCAAGACCCTTTTTTGAAAATTTGTTCAGGTCAAGTTTTAAAAAAAAAAAATTTTTTTTTTCTTTTGAAATGAAAAAATTTTTTTTTCCAGGGGTAATGAAACCAAGAACATGAAATTTGATGAAAACTTACAAAATTTTAATTTTTGCGAAATTAGCAATCTCACATATTAACCTTTGGCGAATTTGCCCAATTTAGCCCTTTTTTGGGGCAAATTTCCTTTGTTCCATGACTATATTATAACAATTTCACTAGCACTTTGTTTTTTATAAATTTAAGTAAAAGAAACTGCCCTTTACCTTTTCAACTGCCCAATAAGTATCAGATATTTAATTGGCCTTTTTCATAAAAAATTTCATAAAAGGGCCCCAATTTTAAAAATAGGGTCCAGAAAAAAAATCCCAAACTTCCTACCTAATAAAAACATTTTCTCTGTTCTTGCCCAGGCCCCTCTTATATTAAAATTGCTTTCCATTTTGAATTCTTATTCACACAAAATTAGATTTGTTTAGGGGACTACTGATTATTGTAAAAATGGTATAAAAATATCAGGCTTTTGGGAAAAGAAATTTTAGCCCCCACCTTGAGTGTTTTGGATTTTGGGACGTGTTTTGTTTATCTTGAACATCTTTCCCCGAAAATGGCCCAAAGCGATCTTGTTCACGTGTAGTGCTACAAAATTAATTTTTTTTTTTTTTTTTTACATATTTTTTAAATATAAAAAACAAAAAATTAGATAAAAGTTTTTTACACATTTTCAAATGAAAAAAAAAAAAAGATTACTTTTTTTACATACTTTCAAATTTTTAAAAAAACGTAATATACTTTTTGGCCCTTTACTGGTTAAAATTTGAATTTTTCCCCTACTTTGAGTCATTTTCAACTACTTTTGTCTGTAAATCATTCAAAATCATCTTTGATTATAATACATTCCTATTCTATAAAATAAGACCAAGAAAAAAAGAAACAACCATAAATACCATAGGAAAATCCCGAAAAGTCACTGTTTAAACCAAAAACTTTTTGCATTTTTTTTCATTTCACTGGGGTGCGCGGATTTTTTTATACCGGGCAACTAACCATTCAATTAAATTCTCTCATATACAGACCTACCATTTTTCCCTGCAAGTTGGAAGTTGCTAAAAAATTGCCAATTATGGGACAAACTGGCTTAAAAAGCCTAATATTACGGGCCCAAACAGTAAAAGGGGTTAAAAAGGGGAATGAGGTAAATATACAACTTTGTGTAATGAATAACCCAGGATATCATCTCACTGAGTGGCTTACTGACTGTTTTACTGACTTACTGACTTGACTGACTGATTTACTGACTGACCTGACTGACTTACTAACTGTACTGACTTAAAGTTAGACTTTTCACTGAAGACAACCCTGACAAATCTAGCATTGCTCTGAAACAGTGTCTAGAGAAGCTGATGCCTCACCATCAGCTGTATAATGTACTGCAAGGTAAAACAGCCCAGAAATCCATTACACACTCAAGTACAACCATCAACTTCAGTACCAGAACCTCTACCATCCACTTCAGTCCAGTAGGGTCACAGTATAACTCTCCACTCTCTTCACAATCATTGACAAACACCAACATCCACAATTTAACATAAGAAATGCCATTATTTCTGTTGCAACTGTAATCCCAAGCAGTAAAAACAACACAATACATCACAACAATGAACAACAATTACATATTTACTTTTATTTTTGTAAGATCTAAAGGTCTAAAAAAAGCTGTTTGTTTTTTTCGGGGGTCTTAGGAATGTAACCTTATTTTTCCCATAAGTTCCTCAGTTTATCTAACATAGATTTACCTAACATGGTGTTTTCAGGAACGTAATTACTGTGTGATATGACGGTCTACTGTAGTCTTCATATTTTGAGTTATTTGAAACAGTCTTCCTTTTTAATGTTCAAGTAAAACTCAAGTAAAATACTAAATACAAAATATACATGGCCATTGAGCAAGGACAGTTTCTACTCTGGGCACAATGTGGCAGCAACTACTGGGTTGAAATTTTATTTCCACATGCGAGATTTTGGTGCAAACACCAAAATGTGATATCATCAACTTCATTTTTCTGAAGCAAAAAAAATTAAAAGACACAAGTAGGTGGGAAAGTGATATCTCGGAGAGGCAAAGGAACCCGGCAATGGGGCTCTATTCTATTGAGGCAAGAGGAAGGACAAGCATATTTGAGGCAGTAGGGATAGCAAGGCTATAGAGAGCACTCAATGAAAATCACAAGAATAACACATAAATCATGAAAGGAGACACCAAAGTTATAGTCAGAAACAAGTAACAGGTGGCTGCATCCAGGAGGGAAGCTGAAGCCATATGGCATTGAGCTTCAGAAACTTGAGCCCTGAGCAGTATCACCACATGGAGACCAGAAGATGGTAGTCTTAAAACATGAAAGAACAAGAAAAGGAAAAGCATCTCTGAGAATGAAACAAAAGAATCTATAGATTATTATGAGCAACATTTGCTACCAATGTGACCAGTAACACTGCCTCCATCATAACAATGTCTGCATCACCCAGATAACATATCCAAAATTAACTGGGTAAGTTTATCATAACTGTTTGCATCAACAGTGCATCAATGGAGCTAACATCACATAGCACAATGATAAAGGACTAACCAGAATAAATGTCAGAATTCATATTCAGTTGCCACTTCAGGATCTGCTACTAACTTTCAACAATACTCTAGCCACCAGATGGCAGGAGCATAGCAACTCAATGTCCTACTAATAAGTTACCCAGCACGACCTAAGATGACAGTTTTCTTTGGGTGCAGCAACACAATCATTGTAGAAATACTATTTGAAGGAATGCAAGAACTGAGTGGAACAATGAACTTTTTCTGTTTTGCAAAAAGCAGATTTCAATGAAAGATAAAATATCCAAAAACAAGAGGAAGAATGGACATACAGACACAGTTTGAACTGCATGAACTCTAAAATGTATTTTAAGGTAGCATTTTTAACTCTAAGCTTTCAGACACTGAACAGTGATGTGCTTTACACAGAATGAATTTTTTCATGCTTGACAAGGGAACTTATCCCACTAAAACATTTCAGACACTCTGAACACTGATAGGGTTTATCTCCTGTATGAACTCTGGTATGCTTTACAAGATGGCATTTTTGGCTAAAATGTTTTAGACACACTGAACACTGATATGGTTTATTGCCAGTATGAACTTTCTCATGTTTTACAAGAGAGCTTTTTTCACTAAAACATTTTAGACATTCTAAACACTGATACGGTTTATCTCCTGTATGAACTCTGATATGATTTATAAGATTGCCTTTTTGGCTAAAACATTTCAAACACACTGAGCACTGAAATGATTTATTTCTGGTATGAACTTTCTCATGTTCTACAAGAGAGGTTTTAACAGTAAAGCTTTTCAGACACTCTGAACACTCATATGGTTTATCACCTGTGTGAACATTCTTGTGTTTCATAAGACTGATTTTTACACTAAAGCATTTTAGACACTCTGAACACTGATATGGTTTATATCCTGTATGAACTAGATTATGTTTATTAAGATAGCCTTTACGGCTAAAGCATTTCAGACATGCCAAACACTGATACGGTTTATTTTCAGTATGAACCTTTTTGTGTTCAACAAGAGAGCGTTTTACACTAAAGCATTTCAGACACTCTGAGCACTGATATGGTTTATCTCCTGTATGAACTTTCTTGTGATTTTCAAAATTGCTTTTTACACTGAAGCATTTCAGACATACTGAACACTGATATGGTTTATCTTCTGTATGAACTCTTAAATGAATTATAAGATGCCCTTTACGGCTAAAGCATTTCAGACACACTGAACACTGATATGGTTTATGGCTAGTGTGAACTTTTTCATGTTCTAAAAGAGAACTTTTTGTGCTAAAACATCTCCGACACTTTGAACACGGATAAGGTTTGTCACCTGTATGAATTTTTTTGTGTCTTACAAGATTACTTTTTACACTAAAGCATCTGAGACACTCTGAACACTTGTATGGTTTATCTCCTGTATGAACTGCCATGTGTGTTATAAGGGAGCGTTTACGATAGAAGCATTTTGGACATTCTAAACATTGATACTGTTTTCCTTCCATATGAGCTTTCATTAGTGGTAGCTATTTTTGTGCTGAGTTCTTGCACTCTGATCACTGATATGTTGCACCTGCTGTATGAACTTTGTGTTTTACAGTGTATGGGCAATTACGATTAAAATATTTAACTTTAAATATTGACATGGTTTATCTCCTGAATGAACTCAAATGTTTAATGGCATTCAGAGAAAGCACTAGAGCCATAAGAATAATTTAGTGGTACACAGGAAGGGTGAAAGATCTGGTGAGAGTAAGAAGTAGAGGTGGAGGTGTTGAAGGTCACTGGTTGCAAGGCAAGGACAAAAATGCCACAGTTGAAGTAGCTAATTAATTTCCTTCAGCAAATCATAGAAAGTGTCAGCAATGAACTTTTTCATGTTCTATATGACAGCTTTTTTGCACATACTCATTGTTCTGGTTACACTGAACACCTGTTGCAGTTTATTTACTCAGTATTTTCATGTCTATATTAAAAAGTTGCCTTCTTGACTAAAACTTTCAGATTCTGACCACTGGTAAAGTTTATCCCCACTATGAGCTGTAATGTGCTTTTACAACAACCTTCCCTGTAAACTATGTACCATTAATAAGCTTAATTTTCAATTACCTGCCATTTATTTTCTAAATACATTTCACTGTAAAAAATGACAGTTTTGTACTTTGTAAGCTTTGGTAGTAAAAAAAAGCAAGTGTTTTTTAGCTGTTTTTGAAACCTCAAATGCTGCTTGAAAGATTGAAGATCACTGGTGTCTGGAATAATGCAGGTTATTCATCTGTTCCTCAAAACTGCTGTGGAGTAGAAAAATTAAACAGTATAGTACTTCAAGAATAAACCAAATGCACAAAGCAAAAAACTGAAAAAAATTCTACCACAAATTATCACTTAATTATATTTAAACTATGATATCCAGTAGTTATCTTGAACACTGGGGTTAGCTTTATAAAAATTGGAGTCCAGAATAAAACCTGCCACTCTTTTGAGAAAAACTTTAAAACAACCAAGAAATCTTTAAAGGTAATCCCCTTCCCAATTAAAAAAAAAATATTTTAAGAGAAAGTCATGCACAACTTATTTATTTTCTGGCAGGCATGTTAGTGTGGCATACCTTGTTGTATGCTGATGACAGCATGGAGTGCCATATTTTATATAAAAATTTGCTAATTGTTAAATATCACATAAAATATGGCATAGTGCAGTGGACCCTCGGGTAACGGCGGCATCGGCTAACGCCAAAATTGGAGAGTGGCATAGGTTAAGGGCATTCATCCCAAACGTGTCCGCGTGGCCTGAGCCCATGTAAAGCCAGTGTGCCATGGTTTACAAGCCAGGGAGGACGATTCCTTGCGTATATGCAATGTATTTTGTATTATTCCATTGTTTTAATGCTTGTAACTGCTAAATAAGCCACCATGTGCCCAAAGAAAGCTTCTAGTGCCAGCCCTGTGGTAAAGAAGGAAAGAAACGCAATAGAATTCGAGTAAAAACCTCGTAGCAAAGTACCAAAGTGGAGGAGGAAGAGAGAGAGGTGAATGTGCCTTCTGCAGTGATTCAGTGATTCTACAATATGTACGATACTAAAACAGCAGGTATTGATAAAGGCTACAGTGTCAGTCAGCAATAAAGTGTAGAATTAACAGTGTAGCATGTAATTTACGCGAGCAAGCGATAGAGAAAGACACAAAAGTAGCTCTCCAATGTTGTTGGATGTGCATCGGGCCAATGAACATAGGCCGCCCTGCTATCTTCCACCACCCTAAACCTCTGCCAGCATCTCCTCCATCAAACTAATTAAACTAACATCTCCTCCAAGGTAAGTGTAAATATAAAAGTGCAAGTATAAAAGTAAATACAGTGGACCCCCGCATAACGATATTAATCCATTCCTGAGAGCTCATTGTTAGGCGAAATTATCGTTATGCGAATGAATTTTCCCCATAAGAAATAATGGAAATCAAATTAATCTGTGCAAGACACCCCAAAGTATGAAAAAAATTTTTTTTACAACACGAAATATTTATTTTAATACACACAAACTGAAAAAGGCATGCACAGTTACATGACACTTACCTTTATTGAAGATCTGGTGATGATTGATGGGATGGGAGGAGGAGAGAGTCTTAGTGTTTAGAAGGGGAATCCCCTTCCATTAAGACATAAGGTGTCAAGTCCTTTTCTGGGGTTACTTCCCTTCTTCTTTTAATGCCACTAGGACCAGCTTCAGAGTCACTGGACTTCTGTCGCACAACATATCTGTCCATAGTGGCCTGTACCTCTCGTTCCTTTATGACTTTCCTAAAGTGTTTCACAACAGTGACAGTGTAATAGTCACCAGCACGGCTTGCAATAGCTGTGTTAGGGTGATTGTCATCAAAAAAGGTTTGCACTTTAAGCCACATTCCACACATTTCCTTAATCTTTGAAGTAGGCAACTTCTTCAATTTCTCTCTCCCCTCCTCCGAAGCAGTTTCCTCAGGTCTGGCCTCTTGCTGTTGAAGTTGATCTAGCAGCTCATCAGTGGTTAGTTCTTCATTGTCCTCCTCCACCAACTCTTCCACATCATCCCCACTAACCTCCAACCCCAAGGACTTTCCCAATGCCACAATGGATTCCTCAACTGGCATAGGATTCCCAGGGTTAGCCTCAAACCCTTCAAAATCCCTTTGGTCTACACATTCTGGCCACAGTTTCTTCCGAGCAGAGTTCAAGGTCCTCTTAGTCACTCCCTCCCAAGCCTTACCTATAAGGTTTACACAATTGAGGATATTAAAGTGATCTCTCCAAAACTCTCTTAGAGTCAATTGAGTTTCAGAGGTCACTACAAAGCACCTTTCAAACAGAGCTTTTGTGTACAGTTTTTTGAAGTTTGCAATAACCTGCTGGTCCATGGGCTGCAGGAGAGGAGTGTTATTAGGAGGCAAAAACTTCACCTTAATGAAGCTCATGTCCCATAAAGTCGCTCTGCCCCGTCTGTAGGATGACCAGGGGAATTGTCTAATGCCAGGAGGCGCTTAAGGACTAATTTCTTTTCAGTTAGGTAATCTTTCACATTGGGGGCAAATGCTTGGTGTAACCAGTCATAGAAAAAGTCCCTAGTGACCCATGCCTTACTGTTTGCCCTCAACAGCACACACAAATTAGCCTTGAGGATATTCTTTTGCCTGAACGCTCTGGGAGTTTCTGAGTGATAAACTAATAAAGGCTTCACTTTGCAATCACCACTAGCATTGGAACACATCAACAGAGTAAGCAGCCTGTCTTTCATAGGCTTATGTCCTGGGAGTGCCTTTTCCTCATGAGTAATGTAGGTCCTGCTTGGTATTTTCTTCCAAAACAGGCCTGTTTCATCACAATTAAACACTTGTTTAGGTTTCAGTCCTTCACTGTCTATGTACTCCTTGAATTCCTGCACATATTTTTCAGCCGCTTTGTGGTCCGAACTGGCAGCCTCACCATGCCTTATCACACTATGTATGCCACTACGCTTCATAAATCTCTTAAACCAACCTTTGCTGGCCTTAAATTCACTCACATCATCACTAGTTGCAGGCATTTTTTTAATTAAATCCTCATACAACTTCCTAGCCTTTTCACTTATGATCACTTGAGAGATGCTATCTCCTGCTATCTGTTTTTCATTTATCCATACCAATAAGAGTCTCTCAACATCTTCCTTCACTTGCGATCTCTGTTTCGAAAACACAGTTGAACCTTTGGCAAGAACAGCTTCCTTGATTGCCGTTTTGCTGGACACAATAGTAGCGATGGTTGATTGGGGTTTACTATACAACCTGGCCAGCTAGGAGACACGCACTCCACTTTCATACTTAGCAATGATCTCTTTCTTCATCTCTATAGTAATTCTCACCCTTATTCCTGTAGGGTTGGCACTAGAAGCTTTCTTGGGGCCCATGGTCACTTATTTTGCAGATAAAATCACCAAAAACACTGTAATAATACAAAATGTTCCAATTGTATGCTTGGATGTTACCGCGGAGGCTGGCTGGTAAACAATGCCACCAGCGGAACATGTGAGGCTGGCTCAGGCCGCACATTAGATGCGTCTCGGACGAATAGCATTGAGCGGGTTTTTTAGCGGTATGCGAGGCAAAATCTTAGCAATAAAATGTATTGGTATGCGGATTTAACGTTATGTGATGCCAACGGTATGCGGGGGTCCACTGTATAAGTGTAAATATAAAAGGACCCCAATGGAAATACATAAGTCACTGACTTTTTTGGGTTATCCTAGGTACTTTACACACATGCTGGTAAGTATGATATTCTATGTATGTAACCATATTTATGTATACCTGAATAAACTTACATACTTATTTATAAATTAAAATGTAAATACACTTACCATCCGACTTACGACCTGCTCGACTTACGACCACTTGACTTACGACCGTGTTTTTTATGCCAAATTTCTGGGAAATAAACAACTATTTGTGTTGTACACAGTGTTTATCCTAAACCTTACAGTATAAAATACAGTACTAATAGCATAAAAAGTAAAGTAAAACATGAAATACCAAAATAAAACAATAAAATAAAGTCATTACAAAAATGTGATATTGATATTCAGTAGTAAAGTTCGACTTACGACCGGTTTCTCGGAACCGAACTTGGTCGTAAGTCGGATGGTAGGTGTATTTCTCAATTATAAATTAAAATATAAGTATCTCTTATTTATAAATTACATAAATTGTTTAAGTGTGATAGTGTTGGTGGGTTCTGCTGGTGCCTCCACCTCCACTATGTCCAGCTTCTCTCAGTGGCCCTTATAAACTCAACAACACTTCCATCACTTTACTCCTCTCATACATTATGACATACAGTGGAACCTCAAATATAGAACTGCTCCCAACTCATCCAATTATGTAAGTGTATTTTTGTAAATGCTTTTATAAGTGTATTTTTGAGGGTCTGAAATGAACTAATCTAATTTACATTATTCCTGATGGGAATAAATTCGTTCGGTAATGGCACTCGAACAGCTGTCTGGAACGAAGAAAGTTCGATATTTGAGCTTCCACTATTTTATTCATTCTAGAGTATATATGATGTTTATATGTTATTAACCCTTAAACGGTCCAAACGTATATATACATTCACTTGCAGCGCCCCGAATGTTTTGAAAAAAAAAAAAACTTTTTTTATATAGGAAAAAAGAACACACTTTTTTAAGTATTATAGAATAAAAAAAATTAGGGTCACTACCTACCAAGATATGAGGCCGAGAAGTTGGCACTGGATGCTCACATGACAGCAACATTAGTCCAGCCATTGCAGAACTGTTGTGATATACAGGTCCGCCATCACAAATCCGGCAATCAGTTATTCGGTTCCTCCAGTTATTCGGCACTAATTTTGGCTAGCATAATTTCAAATTTCCAGGGTCACCACACCAACCTGCAGGTATTGTTTGGTGGTGCTACTTGCTGCATAAGTCATTCCAATTTCTTTTTCTCCATTTATTGCTTTAACCTGCTTACTTTTAGCCCTAGCCATGGTTCCAATGAATAAAAGAAATGCTTCTCATTATGTAAAGCACCTACACAGTACATTATCCATTAAAGATAAGGTGGCTTTGAAGCCACTGTCGGTTGCCATGACCTCAGTCTCATGAAGCAGGAGAATATGCTTAGGTAGGTAAGACACAAAGGCATCAGTTAGGCAACTTTATTCCGAAACGTTTCGCCTACACAGTAGGCTTCGGAATAAAGTTGCCTAACTGTTGCCTTTGTGTCTTACCTACCAACCTGTCGGTATTGTATACCATTTTGAT